CCTCGTGCTTACATCAAGATTGCTTAATTGTGTAATTCACGTCGCGAATCACCCTGTGATTACGACCTCGTAATTGCAACAGTTAGCCAAGCGACGTAGTGCAATAGTGTCATAGTGCGATAGTTAAAGCTGCCGACTGTCCGCCTATCACATATCGCAACCCCTCGGCCTTGCCTCTGTTTTCGTATCACATGTACATTTTCTTTTTGATACTCGCAATTTCCCACTCACAGTTGAAATGTGGTATTTCTTTTTCAACAGTATTCTGTATCATCTGTATTTAATCTAAGTACATTATGTAATATTAGAATACTAGAAAATTTATATTACACATGTAGCTATTAGAAATATTATTCAGAGTCACTTTTTTTTTGTAAATTGGATTTAAATATCTCTATTATTATTGTATTACAATTATTACAAATTACAATTATTACAATTATTACATATTGATATATTTCTTATTTATATATGAAGAGTCATAGAAATATTATATTAAATGGATTATTATACATTTTGCTTCATTACATATATTCATTAATGACTTGATAATCTTCTTTTCACATTTAATAAATAGAAATTATACATTTTGGATGAATACGTTAATTAATAAATACGAAACTTTGAAGATCTCGAATCACGATATCATTTCATATTAAAATGGAAACTTTGGTCAAAAGCGTTTAATTATTTCTCATTTCCGCCGAGTAAGTTTTATTCCGTCAATTTATTTTCGGGAAGCGTAATTAGCAGGAAGAATAATTAGAGACAATTTGTAAACGCGGTTGACGAGGAAGATGGCGTGAGGTATTTTAGTCGATAAGCCCGTCCTCACGCGGCTCGAGCGCTGCAACAAAAGTCCGTCATCTCGTTTCTGCCGTCACGAACATTTCTGCACCGCCGATGCAACGTTCTGCATAATACGTTTCTGCACTTTCTCCGCCATATTCTACCTATTCTATACCCAGGAATTTCAAGCAATGGGGAATGAACATCGTGGAATACAATTCGAAGTAGCAGCTTTTTCCCCCAGACAAGAACTAATTTGCTTGAGTAAATCCGCTTTGCAAAAAAATAAAATTGCTGCAACGCGAGAAGTTGATGTAGCAACGAAGAATGAGAAGTCTTAGAAGTCTTCTCGACTTTCGCAATTTACCAAAACGATGATTCATAAGAATGCTACCCGAGTTTTCTCGTATTTATAATTTTCATATAATTTACAATTTTATTTATCGCCTACTAAATTTTTTTTAAGGTAAAATAAATAACGTAAATTTGTGAGTAATTAGGATTTTGATTTTCAGTTAATTTCAGTTGGAGGTTTTTAAAAAACAAAATTTTATAGACGAAATTTCAACACAATTTTTCCTACGAAAAAATCAGTGGCAAAAAGCAGAAATGTTCCGGAAACGGGAATTGCAAAGAGTGAATAGAGATATGATTGCGGGCGTACACATCTTTGACGTTAAAAAAAAACGAAAAATATTTTTTATTGGAAGTTCGAAGCTTTATTTATTTAAACGCAAATTTTTTTCTCGTTAACGGAAGAGATCTCTCCTTGACCAGACACTTGAAACTTTCGTGTTAACTTGTGCGCATTAAACGCTTAATGCGGTTAAAGTTCAATCATTTTACGTGTTCCCGTGGGCGCGAGTCGGAATTTTCTCAACGAAACTTTAATCGAAACTCTTAATAACAACATCGTCGGCCTTATCGCCGGCGGCGATGGGGTGTCCGCCCCCGTCTGCAATCCCTCCCGCGCGTCTTGCAAACGCGATTCCTTACACTTTGCAAAGCCGCGGGGCTAATTTTCCCGTCCCGCCGGGCAGAGCTTAATTTAATCACCATCACGTCGCAGCTATTAATTAGCCGTATTAATTAATGGGACTATTGTTCCGCTATCGGAAGTCGGGCTCACGATTACGCCGATAGATTATTATTTGGGCCCTATCCGAGACCCGAATCCCGATTGGCATCGTTAATATCGCGGACTTAATTCTCCGGCGTAACCGGGAGCATTCATACTGCACATTAGCATAGTTATAACGTAAGTTATTGCGACAACATTTCTCCCTCTCCCTCTCTCTTTCTCTCTATCATTGTCATTATCAGCTGCCTGTATATCGTAATCAAATAGTCAATTTTGATGATCGAGTTATGGCGCCGTTCTGATTTAATTTTTTTTCTTTAATTGCAATGAGGGCGAATAAAAATATTCAATATCCAGGAGAGAGATATTTTCCTTTATTATAAATAATACAATTAATAATTAAATAAGTATATGTATATGCGAGCGAATAGTGTGAAAAGACATTTTACGTAAACATTTAAGTTGTTAAGTAATCTGATGTTTCTTAGGAAAGCTTAAATTTTGATTGCCAAGTTAAATACTAAGGAGTTAATATTATATAGTTAAATTATTATATAGTTATATTATAGTTAAAAGGAACGAAGAAGCGCCAAATTTTAGTTGAAGAGATAAGTAGTAAGTTGAGTATAAAAGAAAGTTGTGAAAGGAAGGTATATAATTTTGGCACGGTCTGTATACAACTTTTTGATAAACGGTGAGCTTGATTTCGGTAAGATAGTTACCAGAGTTGGTTTTCTCCTTGGCCGAGCTAGAAAAGCCTTTTGCGATATCGATGTACCGCGGCTAAAAGAATTACAGCACCGTCAGCGTTGGATATTTTGGAGTAAAGGAATTAAAATCTCGAAGCACGCGTGTCTCGTCAAAAGAAATTAAAATTTCCGCGAGCTTCCATTTTTTGTATGCATTCCTTTTGTTCGCTCTCTTTCTCTCTTTTTCTCTTTTTTCCTGTCCACAATTTGTCTCCAGGAGATTCTGAATTCGTGAGATTCACGAGATTCACGAAAAATTCTGTAAAATCCACGCGCGTCTCTCTCGAGCTCTCTGTCTCTCTCTGTCGAACTCTAATTGCTACAACTAAAATTAAAATATCAATGATTAAAGTACGTGAGAATGAGAAGAAACGTTTATGAAGGAGGATGAAATCAGCGTCGAAACGGTCGGTGCAATACGATTGATCCTACTGCTTTTTCATTTAGTGACACAAGTAGACATAAGTATCATTTTGTCCTTGTTAATCATTGAAAGCAAAAAAAAAAAGATAGAACGATACTGTATCGACTTGTGTCACTAAATGGAAAGTACCCATTAGTAATCTCCGTCGAGGGAGCTCTCTCAAGAGACTGATACCACAATGTGATTCGCAAACCATCGCGTCTCAGTTTCTCGCTATTTGCGAAGACAGTGCGACAGAATCCGCTCGTGGGAACGTGACGTCAGCGACGCGGCATTAGCAATTCATATCTGACATAACTGCGGTTGGATGCCACTCGCAAATCAGTTACATTTGTTCCCTGCCTAGGACGTGTATCGTCCTCTCGCCCCTCTCTCTCTCTCTCTCTCTCTCTCTCTCGTTCTAATGGGGTTAATTTAAAGCGATGGCCACTTCAACATTAATTGCGTTTGCCTAACAAGAATTATTAACCATTGGCATGTAGACCGATACTACCTACGATCATTTAGACTAATAGCTTTCGAGTCTTCATCCGTCAATCAAAGTCGGGGATTCACGATTAGAATGGCAGAGTGAAAAAGAAGTACAGCTTGAAACGTCAATCTCGCTGAAGTCATAACTTTTTACATAAAAATCTCATTCCATTAAAAATATAAAAAGATGACGTCCCCTTTACAGCGCTTTTACTTGCGGTCGTTTATTAGTCAACTTCAACCATTGCCATTTCGTATAAAGCGTTAAATAATTTCTCGCACACGTTAGAAGTTACGCGACCCGGAAGTCCCATTGTCTCGTCTTTAGTCACGTTCCTCTGCTCGTTTAACTCGCGAGAGATGAATACGACGTGACTCAAGAGGAGGAGACCGTATCTCTTTTCGGCATATGGCGAAAGTTCCCTCGTTGTGGTGTAACGTATACTTGGCGCCCAGTAATATTTCGCCATACAGTGAAAACCCTTGACGCGAGTATCATGCGCAAGCCGGATCGACGATAAACGATAAATGTCACGCAGTTTTCGAGCGATTGTAGCCGGATTTTATCGTTCTGCGTTTCACAAGCTCTCGCGATGGAAACTGAAGCTCGCGAATAGGATAGCCTCGGCAATTCGCAAACATTTATGTCCGCGTTTTATACATTTTATATTTATCGCTTATGAACATGTATCGCACTTAAACGTAACAAATATAAGCTATTTCAGTAAGCATGGCAGTTTTTATCAGATCTCCAACGTGATTTGTTTCAGATAAAGAGGAAATGTATTATAAATTTTGATCGTCTTTTGATTTATATGCCATAAAATATAGGGCTTCACAGCTAGTTCTAAGTTTTAGTGTATTTTCAATTATTATTGAACCTGTTTGAATTATATATAAAAAATTTTACACGAAATACACACTACCGTTCATGAGTTTGAGAACTTATAAACTTGCGAACTATCTCGAATTTACGAATTATATATATTTTTTTATATATAAATATATATTATAATTTTTAAAAAATCTAGGAATTAAATAATATTTTTTAAACAGTTACAGTCTCTTTGATAATGAATGTTTTTCAAATTTAAGAGGTGAAATTTTGATGTCGAGATATCATGGATTTTCCTCGGCAATGCAAGCAACGATTCGCGATACTATCAATTTTCCCGACGACGACGACTATTCTCGATCGTTTTACGATTCTAACCCATATCTGCAAAAGTAGTTTCTCGATGCGGGTCGAAATCGAATCGAAGTCGAAACGAAACGAAACGAAATGAAGGCGGAGATTCCGCAGTGGTGGTGGCGGTGGCGGCAATTCCCAATGCAATTGCCCGGAAAACTCGGCACGCGAACGCGAAAAAGTTCTGATACGCTTTCCCCTATCACGACTCGATGTCTTTCGAGGCTGTCAAAAAATACAGGTATTACAGATAAAATTAATTTGAACTTTCTCTGAGGAACTATTAACGGTTAATTTGGAAAAATGCACAAAAAAGGATACAAGCCTTACTTGTGTTGTTAATTCGATCATTTTATTAAGAATCTGTACTCTCTAATATTATTTTGGTTTCCAAAATACTTGATAATGTCTCCCTCTCGAAAAAAGAAAAACGGAATATATTAGATTATAATTAATTATAATTAATTTATACATTTTTTATTAAAATGCTATTGTTTTGACCTTGATTTTTCAGAAATGAAGAATGCGAGAAATATACATGCACTAATTTTATTCTCATTTAT